TATATTGAAAATAACGGCACGAAACTTCCGTTTTTATGTTCAATATAAAATCGCAATTTGATTGAATTTAGTGTCAAAGGGAGAAAGAGAAAAAAAGAAAATGTTGAAAAAAAATAATGCTTTGAAAGAAAATATATATTACTTATTAGTTTCAATAAATTTACCCACTTAAGTATAATTGTGAAAGGAAAAAGAATAAGTGTTAGTTTCTAAAATGAACAACTTAAAAAAAGAAGACATAACTTGAAATACCTTAAATAAAGTGGTTTTCAAAAACATCAACTTTATAGTGGTAAATTTAAACGATTTTTATCAGTATGTAAAAAGTTTATTAATCTTTTGAACTGTATAGCAACATTAGTCAACATTTGCTACAACATCATTTCTATGTTTAGATTATAATTTATAAACATGGATCACGTTTCTTTTATAATAAAGCATGAGAGATTACATAAGTTACTTAAATTCGACATCTGGAACAAATTTTAATTACTTACTGTTGTTGTTTTAAGTTAAAGTTCATTCCTATGTGTAGATGTTCAATATTATTTTAGTGCGCCTGCTTGTTCCCTCATTTTCTCTCTTCTATTCCTCAATCGGACTCATATTTGAATGGAATATTCTATTTGTAGTATTTCGATAAAAAAAAAAAAAAAATGTTTTTTTCTTCTTTTTTTATATTAAGTGTAAATGTTGTATGCATTGTAATAAATAAATGTAAGACCTACATAACATATATATAGAAAATGAACAACGCGAATATACATAAAATCTAGTTCAATCATCCATTCTCATCTTTTGAAGCATCTAATGTGGGCATACACAACTCGTTCTTATCAAATTTTATTCTCTCTCTCTCTCTCTCTTTCTCTCAATCTCTCTGTAGTCCCTTGACTTTGAATAGGTTAACATTTTAACTTTGTTTCATATATCAGATATTGATATAGATCATTTCAAAAACAAAACAAAAAAAAAAAGAAAATCAAAACGAGAGAGAAAAAAAAAAACTTTTATATATACACATACCATCAAATAAAAAGGAGTAATATCCTCAAACGATCTGTGTTCTCTCTTAAGTCAGTAACTCATATTTAAGAGCTAAATAATAGTAATGATAATATGACAAACACATGTATATACTAAAGATGATGTAAGAGTAAATTGAGCAAGTATGTTCACTCATAATCAGAGAGGAGGATGTATGTAGAGAATAACTTATGTAATTTATTTATTACATATCAGACGAAATGACATAAATACAAATAGTGAACAAAAAATAGTTAATTTTACTAAACTATTAACTGAACGTTTAATTACAATTTAGAAATAGAAATTTAGAATCAAAATATAAACAATTTTCAACTATAACAATTGTATTCCTATGAGATTTAATCTTCCTTATTCGAGTGATGTTTTTACAATTTTTTTTAATATAAAATAATTATTTCGCTAAATTAAAACAGATAATATAACAAAATTTACAGATTAACTAAAATGAGATATTCTAACACTAAAAATAGTCATTTTTCGTTTAAATATCGATTATTTTTAAAGATCTTTATTTCCATATAAGCAAAAATAGTTTAGTTTTTTCTTCTTCTTCTAAATGTGCTCAATATTATTGCACGTATTATTCTTATTAATCATTTTTATATCCTATTACTATTTTATCTCTTATGTGACCATTATAGAGAAATAAATGTTTGAATATGAAATATATATTAGTCGCGCTGTTGGTTTGATGTTTTAGTCGAAGGTCATTTTACAAACAGAATAAATCTTAGCCTACTGAGTAATTTGTTTGTATATATATTTGTGTGTGTATGCGTCATAATGGCATCTCAAGGTTTTAACATTTATCGTTCGATTGGTAAACTACCTACCACGGACACACACAAGCAGACACATCTGCTTCATTTTCATTTTTTCTTCTTCTCCTCTAACCTATACGAAGATATTTATCCATGTGTAAGAGTTACAATGTTACAACATACGACATCTTACTTGTCTCCAACAAGAAAGGTCATAAAAATAGATAAGAGAAAGTGAGGCTCACCAATAAAAAATTTGTTATCAAAGTAAACATACACAGTATGAAATCTATTATTTAGATGTGTGTATGACTGTGTCTACAATTTCCACTCCTACAACTACTTGACATGTCAAAGAGAAAAAAAATTTTTTTTTTCATGATCAAGTAGATAATATTGAATTAGAGACAATATTAATAATTTAGACAGATGTCAAAGAAATTCATTCAATTCATGGATAAATTATTAATAAATATATACATCGTCCTATGATCGACGTAATAATTTGCCATCATGTTTACCCCGTTTATACACATATTCTATGAAAAATTCACAACTATTCTAACTGTGATAATTTGGTATTGTTGAACTCTATCAATGTTTCTAATAAAATCAAACTGTCATAATAAAATTAAAGGTTGGGAATTAGTGTAACCAGAAAATAGTTTTCTGTAAAGGTTAGTTCAATAAGATTTCTAGTAACAATTTGTTTTATTTATATTTCGAAGGTTCAGTTTTGATTCAGATAATGTCTAGTATATAGATGCAGAAGACAGATTTCGAACAGATACAAAGGATAAATGTTACTCATAATGTTCAAGTGAAAAGAAAAACCATTTCTCATTTTTTTATTCCTTTCATTGAATATCGAAAGTAGTACTGCAAACAAAAGAAGTGAAATCTTCTATGAAGGACAAATATCAATTTGTCAAACTGAACATTGATATATTTATATTTTAGACAACAATAATTTTTAGACACAGTTTTGTTTAAAAAAAATGTATAACTTTGTTAATGGAGGAAATAAGGTCGAGTGGCGGATACGAGAATTTTTGCGGAAGAGTAGAATTGTTCTGAAGCATCTGTGATATATATAAAGAATGATAGATCCGCCACTACTAAATGAAAAAAAACAAAGTGTTTTTCGGAATAACAATCCTTGGATATACAGACGCGACCGTTGTGTATATATATTATATGTGTGTAAAGCTAAGTTTAATCGATTTAAAATCCTGATACACACGAATTATCATGTGAAATTAAAAACAAAATCTACTTTGAAATAAAGTAAACTTTTTTAGACATTACAAAAACATATTTTACCAATAAATCACGCAGAAATGAGTAGTTTGTCGTTTAATAGATTTATATATTATTTATAGTTACTATATATTTAAAAATTATAATGTTAGCCAAAAGTTGTTGCTTACTCGGACTACTATCTCATTTTTTTCTAACTATACGACTTTATCGAGTAGTCAGAGAATAAAAGCGATAGTGTATATGTATTTTGCTATGAAGATTATCGATGTATTCGTGTTAACAGTTTGACATCTATTATTTCATTGATATTATCTTGACGAGAAGAAAAGAAAAAGTCCGTTGAATAAATGAGAGTACAATTAAATGGTCGATAATGATAATGATGATGATGAACTATTTTTTTCTAATGATTCTCGCATGCTCATTTAGGGTGTCAATCAAACCATTTGGCTTTCACTACTGACCCTTCCACTATAATCAAATACCTGTGATTATTGGCAACTGTTATAATTAATTGAACTCAAAACATCACTTGTGTATACATAATCGCGGTAAAGTAAAAAACTAGTCGGAAAAAAATGGCAACAGGAGTCTAACTGACACTGAAAGAGGCGAAGTAGTTTTTATAATCAACATTACAAAAATAACAAGGCAAAAGGTATCAATCGACGAAACTAACTCATAGGATGACTAAGAATGATGGAAAGTTTCTCTTACATTAGATAACAGATTCTATGTAGTAGACGAACAATATACTTATTATTATTTTTTCTGATGAGAGTATCAAATTTGTTGATATTGCCATTGTTTGAGAAAAACAACATTCGTACCACTTAAGTATCATCTTAAGAGAGGAAAATTTATTCAATAGCTAATCGATCAATCATACCTGAGAGTGGTAACTGTGTCTGCTTGTCTGTCTGTTCATAATGAGTTACGCACATCGGAACTTAATCAGACTTCTTTTCTGCATTGAACATTCTCTTCTCTTCATTTCCTTTCATCTTCTATATTCAATGTTGACATGTTCGACTATACGATAGACGTGAAAATTTTCTAATACGACGCAGTAATAAACACGGTGATATACGAAAAAGGAAAATAGTTACGCATATAACAAAGAATTTCTATTTCTCTCCCTTTTTTTTTTCTTTTATTCAGTTCTTTGTTCATGATGATAGTTTCATACAAATACATACACAAGACAAAAAAATGGTATACACTGTATAATAAACTAATAGAGTATGACATAGAATGTTCAAATGAACCGTCTTACACCCATGTTGATTGATCATGGGTCTTGTAAATCTACAGCTATTCTCTTACAAGCGTTACTAGTAAAATATAGGTGAATTTATGTAACTTCACTTGGAATCTTTATGCTAATCTTTAAATCGATCTTAAATTAAATGGATTTTGTTTTTACGTTAAACGGTAGATATAATTTCTTTTCCTACGATAAATTGAAATTAATTAGTGTTTTTTAAAACGGTCAATCACTCTCAGGACTGTACTATTAATGAATTAAAAATAAAAAATTGTTACCTGAACGCGAATTGAATAAGAGGTTAACGTTTTTTAACAGTTCAAACCGGATATACAGGCAAAAAAGAAAGCGTTTAGAATTCTAATATGCAAACAAAATAAAGAAACAAAAATAGAGTTTCTACTCTTTATTACGTAAGAAAAACACACCAAATATCCACCAACAATAATGTAACTGAAAAAAAAATGGAAAAAAGATATTTTTCTAAAATGTTTTTGGGATTAAATATATGTTTCTTTGTTTTACTAGGAGAAAAAAACCTAATACTAAGGTGCAAAAAACAAGATATCAAATTATTCTAGTAAGAGAAAGAGAGTGTTTTGATACGATAGCTATGAAACAAATCAAAATCAATTTTACTAATACTGTTTCTAGATTTGTCACGTTGATGATTTCTAAACAAAAGAGAAAAAAAACAAGCACAATAATTTAAATAATTAAGTCTGACATATAGATAGAAGATCGACAAGTCAAAAAAGTAAAAGTTTTAAGTGTTTTCTCTCAAATATATTTTAATCAATTTGTTTTTTTACTTGCTCTATGCTAAACTGAACAGTAAGAAAAAGATTTGGTTTTCTACTGCATTCATCTATCGGTAAACTGACTGTCTTGTTAGGATAAAGTCATGCTATACATACTGTCGGTAATTTTACAGTTTGTTTTTCATTGAGTGTTCTTCCATATAAATATGGAGAACGAAAATCATTTTGACAATTACTATAACCCATGCCGATTCCAATACCAGTTCCTAACAGTACAGGCCATGGTCGACCTAGAAAAGAATGAAGCAAGACATGAACATTTTTGATGAATAATGCCAAGTATTATACATACGTCTAAATAAAACCGCAGAAAAGACGATGCCCAATGCAAGACCAGATGCTAAGAATAAAAGTCGAGTATGACACAAGGATCACGTGAAAGATAGATAAGTTACCTGCTTTAACAAGTGTATCTGTTACACAACGATCCCATTTCTCTCCATAAACATCTTCGGAAGCTACTGAAGGCGTCGCCGTTTTAGTATTAGAAGTCATATCAGAAACTGAAAGGAAAAAACAGCTGAAACATTTTCACAAAAAAATGCTAATAATTGATATCGTTCTAAATCAACTGGAAAGATTAGAACAGAAAATAATACTCTACATTCAGCGTTCACAGACACTCGTTTCCAATAAATCTCATTTGTTATGACACCTCCTTATATTGATTGGTGGTCAAACTTCGGGTTATTTTTAGCAAGTCAATCGCATAGCTAATAAAACCAATAGAGAAGAAAACAAGAAGATAAATGATAACAGAAATACAATTAAAATAAGATTAAAAGGAGAACGTTTAACACGGTATTATTATAACCGTAAGTATGACTAAATTCTACTGTAAAAGATTGTAAAATAAAGTTTTGAATGACGATAAAGGTGGAGAACGGATAACTGACTCTGAAAATTGGTCATATCCACAAGCAAGGGCAACGTCCTAGGTATGATCATTTCAATCTATACCATCCAAAACAACTAATAGAAGAAATAACAGAGAGGAGACATTATTTAGATACTATTGATCGGAAAAAATAAAAATATATTAAAAGAGAAAGGAAGTCAGAGTATTTAGACACATTTAGAGACGAGATTAAAAGAAGATCCACATGAATACGGTTTTGAATATCGGAATAATCAAAATGATTAAAAGAAGAGAGAAGTATAAAAGAACATCGGCACAACGCTAAGTTTCACAGTTATATAGAAGAGAAAGAGGTAAATCACTGATGTATATAAGAACCAGAAAACTCTCAAGTACACTGCCTCCTTGCTTAGTGGATTCCACGAGACTAAACATTATGCGTACGAAAATTAAACTAAAACATAATTTTTTGTCTTTATACTAGTGTTATATGATTCTTTGTCTCATGTAATACTGCTCGTTCGAGCGCACAATTTGTAGAAAAAAACACCAACAGAAATGGTACTCTCGATCTCTGTTGTCAAACATTTCTTGAAGAATGTCATGCTGAAAAAACCTAGTAAAATGGTAATTAGAATATTCACTTTTGCATAGAGGAGCATTTCAAATATTTGATTTGGAAGTGTCTAGAATGATCAGAAAATGCAACGATAGTGGCGCTAAAGTGCAACTACTAATTTTTGTCTTGCATGGGATCAATTTTAGTCCATAATTTTTGCAAAATCCTGTTTAAGAAGATCACATCGTTATCAACAGTCTATGAGGTACGGTCTTTCCTTGAGTTCAATCGAATTAAAAATAAAAAACCCGTAATGAGATTATGAAACTAATTTAGATGTTAACATGCAAAATAGATTATCCTGCCTACATATTGAAATCAAATGATCATAATGGGATCATAAAGAGGCCATGAGGTATCATAATGGGATCATAAAGGGATAAAAAAAGGGATCGATCCTCGGTTTTCCCACTTGAAAAAATCGCTCAACTTTTTTCGAACTAAATTTTTGTAAAAGTCTTGCTATTGATGTGTACTGATACGCAATTTGACACGCATTGCAGCTGAAAAAAGGAAATGAATTTTTGATTTAAATAAATAAAAAGTGCATGAAGAGAAAAACACAGAATTGCATGGCACAACCTATAAACAAAATTTCAGTACGGCACTGGTAAAAATCAGTGCGCACCGGTGCGCATAGCATGCCATCAGTCACTGGCACTGGTTGGCACCGGTGTGCACCCGTGCCCGGTGTGAACCAGTGCCGATCGGCGCCCGTGCGCACCAGTGCCGTACAAGTGCCGATAAAAATTGTTTTTTTGGGAAACTCTTCCATTTTCTTTCAAGAGAATAATAACACTCAAAACAATAGAAATTAATCAATGTTAACTTACTATTTAACAGTCGATTTGCATCTAGTTTAGATTTTGAATATTGCTCACCGACCGTCGACGGTAACATACATGTTTTTATTTGATCTTGAGTATATAATACACGTAGCAATCGTCGTCCATAATCACCAGGATTTTTTCCATTTATATTGAGTAAATTTTCGTTAATGTAAACACCTCTCCTAAGCGCGTAAAAATATTTCGTAATTTTACTTTTATGTGCCCAACATTTATGGAAAGTTTCATGGAAATCTCATGCACTGAATCGAAAACTGATTTTAGAGGGGTGGCCTTAAGAGTGCATTCCCCTCTTTTAGAAAAAGTTTCCCTTTTAAGTTAAACATGGTGCATCGTAGAATGAAATGTCCTCTACAAAATAAGACCACTCCCAGCTCTCCATGATTGTAGAGATAGAATTTTTCAGACCCCGTCGAAACTTCACTCGATTGACTCAACAATTTTATCACAGGTATCTGCGATGATATCTGAAAATGCAAATTTTTGTTTTCTGTTTCCGAATTTTCCTTCTTGACAGATAAAAAATTGTAAAAGCTCGAGGCAAAACTTCGATTTTATTTCAAACCCCATAACTCTTAGATAACATATTACAGCAATAGGAAGAAATTGTAACGGGGTATTCTAACATTGGAAATATGCTCAAGTAGAAGACAAACCGTTTTAAGTCTTGAGAAGAACACCTTTTATAATGTTATTGACTTTCAGTATGTTATAGTGTTCCTTTGGGGCAAAAGAATTCTGTTTTATCTTATTCTATACATTTGAGAATGCAGAATGTTGAAGTCTGACTGTTTTAAAACATATTCGAAACAAGAAAAAGGATTTTACTATAAATTTCTCCTATATGACCACAGAGCAGGGATAGCTTTTTCATTCTTTTCGCTTATGATATAGCACTTCGGTCTAGTTTTAAAAACAACAGTTCATTCTAACGTTACTTGTATAATGGATCATTGTTGTCATATTAACAATAAAAGATCTCTACTTAGAAAGCCTAAACTTGTGTTTGTAATCTATCTAATGTATAGCAAAAACTTCTGTGGCACTCCCTCGTCAGTGAGATTGATTGAAAAACGTGTTCTCCGCAAGTTACTATATTCGACACATTAAAAAAGGTAACTATTCTGATAAAAAGATAAAAACAAAAACTTCGTGTTCCTTCTGTAGCGATGATCGTTACCTTTTTAAAACAGAAATAGCAGAACAACCACACTTTGTACACGTTTCATTTCAAAAACGTTTTTGTACAAGAACTATCGAATTCAAAAGCAACGCTCTTGGCTATTTTCTTGGCTTTTCACTAGTGTGTAACCAAAAGGTGACCAAATAACATATGGAAAAAGAAAGTTGAAAGCACTATCTGCACGTGGGGTACTTGCCAATGGTTTAAAAGAATAGATTGCCACGAGTCAATGTCTCATAGCGACTCCTATGTCTGGAATATACAAATAATAGCCTATGGTATCCTCTACAAATCTACGAAAGAAAAAGATCTGCATCTCTCATGATTAGAGCGGATGACGGGGATAATGTCGTGAAATTCTGAAAGGTACGATTAAGAGAAAGCACTTTGCTGACTACCCAGGTGTTTTGTTACGGTTATCGTATACGGGCCGTATACGTTTCGAATACGCCGTCTTTACGGCCGTTAATGATTGAATACGAGCGGTTTACGCACTGTATTTTACCGTAAACCAGGCCGGTGTTTTAAGACCGTATTAACGTCGTACAATATACGGCGTGTTTACGGCTTAAATAAGATTATCCTATATGGGTGTATATACACTGTAAATGACCGTAAACATACCGTATTTCTACCGTATAGAGGCGATTCACGGTCTGGAATTATACAAACGATAGCTTTGCTTTCGTCTGATTAATATTAGTTTTATTGTTCATACCATGATAACGCTTGACAAAAAAGGAATAGTCAGACAAATAAATGTTAGAAGTGAAAAATACAGTTCGAAAAACAAAACATAAAAATAATGCCGTGGCTCTGTTCATAAAAAAACACTCATTTTCGTACCAAAATCATACGTGACAAATAAACTCAGATAGACAACAAACATAAATAAACGTATTTGTTCTGATATCCATCGCTTTAACACAAAAAATGATTACATGCAAGTAGAAAAACGTAGAGAACGTACTTGATGCAAGTACTTGACTACTTGCTAGGTACTTGGAAAAATTGACAAGTGTTTTCAAATTTTCTCACTTGTCATGTACTTTCGGAAGTACTTCTCAATGATTAAAATACTTGCTTTTATTGCTAAGAAGTACTCTGTGAAAGTCCTTAGCAAATAAAATCTTTTCTATCACCCTAAACCAAAAAAAGTATGTTTAAGAGCCAAAAGTATTTTTCTGTTTGACCAAAAATCCAAAAAGTACTTTTTAGAAAGACTTGAGGGTTTGTCTAGCTTTGGTAAAAACCAGAAGGGTTTTTTCCTAAACGCATTTGGTTTAGGGAAACATCGTTTTTGATTTCGATTTTTCAAGTAGCGAAGGATTTTCCAGTTTGAGCAAACAATGAAAAGCATTATTTACGACTTATAAACACTCTTTTTTAAACTAAAAATAGGGTTAAATCACCAGTTGCTTGGATAAGACAGGTTAGGACCGCTCGCCACTATCTATTTACATTAAGACTATACCTATACTTACGAAAAATTTACTTACAAGTAAATTTACTTCTGAAAAAAAGACAAGTACCGGTTTCATTACGCAAGCGGAGTACTTGTTCCAAGCACAGTGTGCATTTTTCCATAGATCAGGCGGACATTTGCTATAGCAGCAGTCCAAAAGACTATAAACATTTTTTTATAGGTTTTCAGATATGCTCTGCTCTTTCCAATGGTGTATTTTTCAAAGTTCAAAGAAACTTTCATCTGGGTTCTTCAGAGACCGGGTCTGTAGAAAACCCTTACATAAGTATTCTGAAACTTTTTAAAGCGCACTATTGGAAAGAGCATATCTGTAAACATATAAAAAATTGTTTTAGACTTTTGGACTACTTCTATAGCAAATATCAAAATCCTTAGCCAAAACTATGACTCTATGCTTCGACTTTAGCATTTCGCTAGATCCAACTAGTTTTTGCTTAGAAGAATCTACAAATGACATATCATTCGATGCAATTTCTTGCGCTGATTCCAAATATGTTATTTTTGTTGAATGAAAACGTTTCTGAACCGAGAAAAATGGAAAATACCTGAAAAACTCAGGTTTTTTGGAAAACCCGCTGTATGCTTCAGGAACATTGGCGCATTTTTGCGCATTCACCATAGATGCAGGACATATAGGAGAAAATTCTGTGAAAGTTTGCTTAAATTTGGGCCTTCACTAACTTTCGCGCGCTCACTTTACTAAACTTAAGCCTTCGGAAAATCGCTTGAGAAAAACTTCTTTTAATTTTCTCAACTATCATAAGTTCAATTTAAAATTTGTTTTACTAACGGGTGGCGCATAATAAACGGGACACTTTTGTTCTTTATTTTTAAGGCACTTCCGAATGATCTAAAAATCTGGCTCTAGTTTCATTCGATAGAGAATTGAATTCTCTACAGAACCTGCTTTTTGAATCTCTGATAGCATTTTTCTCGTTTGAGCACTACTCAAAATATTGAATAGTGCTAAATGCTCAAACTGCGTTTAGGAAAAAACCCTTCTGGTTTTTACCAAAGCTAGACAAACCCTCAAGTC